ACCGTGTTCCCTCTCTCTCTCACCGTGTTCCCTCTCTCTCTCACCGTATTCCCTCTCTCTCTAACCGTGTTCCCTCTGTCCCTCTAAGTGTGTTCCCTCTGTCCCTCTAAGTGTGTTCCCTCTCTCTCTGACCGTGTTCCCTCTCTCTCTAACCGTGTTCCCTCTCTCTCTCTCACCGTGTTCCCTCTCTCTCTAACTGTGTTCTCTCTCTGTCTCTTTCTAACTGTGTTCCCTCTCTCTCTAACAGTGTTCCCTCTCTCTAACCGTGTTCCCTCTCTCTCTCTAACCGTGTTCCCTCCCTCTCTCTAACTGTGTTCCCTCCCTCTCTCTGTGTTCCCTCTCTCTCTCTCACCGTGTTCCCTCTCTCTCTCTAACCGTGTTCCCTCCCTCTCTAACAGTGTTCCCTCTCTCTAACCGTGTTCTCTCTCGCTCTCACTGTGTTCCCTCTCTCTCTCTCACCGTGTTCCCTCTCTCTCTAACCGTACTCCCTCTCTGTCTCTCTCTAACTGTGTTCCCTCTCTCTCTAACAGTGTTCCCTCTCTCTCACCGTGTTCTCTCTCTCTCTCACCATGTTCCCTCTCTCTCTCTAACCGTGTTCCCTCTCTCTCTCTAACCGTGTTCCCTCCCTCTATCTCTCTAACTGTGTTCCCTCTATCTCTCTAACTGTGTTCCCTCTGTCTCTCTAACTGTGTTCCCTCTGTCTCTCTAAGCGTGTTCCCTCTCTCTCTGACTGTGTTCCCTCTTTCTCTAACCGTGTTCCCCCTCTCTCTCTCTCTCTCTAGCCGTGTTCCCTCTCTCTCTCTAACTGTGTTCCCTCTCTCTCTGACCATGTTCCCCCTCTCTCTCTAACTGTGTTCTCTCTCTCTCTCTCTGACCGTGTTCCCTCTCTCTGGCTCAGGTCTCTTGGTGGGAAGTTGCGAATTGGACTCGCAGAGCAGTCTGTGCTTGCTGCTATTGCCCAGGCTGTCAGCCTGACTCCTCCTCAGTCTGGTAAGCTTAGTTTTCGCCACCCCCACCGTGTCCCAGGGTGGGGAGGCAGGGCGGGAGCTGGGGCAGTGGTCGGGGTGTGTGTAACAGCGAGGCAGTGTACCTGTTTGTGGGAGTGAGGGAGCAGCGGCAGACTCAGTGGAATTAACCAATCTCTCCCGACCCTACATCCTCCGCCCCTTCCTCTCCCAACCACCCCCCCACAACCCCCCCGCTCCCCTTCTTCCATGCCCTGCCCTTCCCTCCCCAGATAACCCGGATCTCCTGGATGCTGGGAAGGGGATGACAGCAGAGAATCGCAAATCCTGGATTGAGGAGAAGACCCTCCTGCTTAAGCAAGCGTACTGGTGAGTACTGAGTCAGGATGCCTTCTGTCCCACTCTCCCTCACTCTCTCCTTTCCCCTCCCCTCCCTAATTTCTCCTGAACAAAAACAAAGTTGCTGGAAAAGCTCAGCAGGTCTGGCAGCATCCGTGAAGGAGAAAACAGAGTTAATGTTTCGGATCCAGTGACCCTTCCTCAGAACAGACCCTTCCTCTAATTTCTCCTGAACCTCCTCCCCCTCGATCCCCCCTACCCCTCCTCTCCCTGCCCCCTGCTAGTAGAGTTGTATTTGACATGGGGAGCCTGTCGACACGCGTCAGGGGTGGGGTGCTGGGTCAGGGGGGGAGGGTGGTGTGTCGGATCCCAACAATGATCGCGCGCGCTCTCTCTCTCTCGCTCGCTTGCTCTCCCTCGTTTTCTCAGTCTCTCACTCGCGCTCTCTCTCTCTCGCTCGTTCCCTCCTTCCCTCTCTCCTCCCTCTCTGTCTCTCTCTCTTTCTCCCCATCCCCTTCTCTTCCTCCCTCCCTCCCTCGCTCTCTCTCTTTCCCCCTCCTGCATTCACCCTCACTTCTCCTCCTGTTTGCTCCGCAGTGAGTTACCCAACTACGATCTGATCGTCCCCGTCCTGCTGAAGGAAGGGATTGACGAGCTCCCACAGCACTGCCGCCTCACGCCAGGTACCCGGGGCTTTGCAAGGGGTGGGGGGTGGGTTTCGGGGCTAATGCAGGGTAAGTAGGGCTCAGTGACTGGGTCAGGGGTCAGCGACTCCGTGGGGTCACGGATACTTGTGGGGGGCGGTCAGAGTGTCTCAGGGGGCAGTAGACAGTGTGTGAGTCTACAGTGATCCCAGTGCATGGGGTTTAATTCCCAGTGTGTGGGTCTACAGTGATCCCAGTGCACAGG